TCCCTTACGATTATACAGTGAAAGTGACAGATAGATTCAAGGAATTAGATCTGATAGAGTGCCTGGAGGACAGAGGTTCATGACATTGTACAAGAAGCAGTGATCAAGATCATCCCCAAGAAAAAGAAATGCAGAAAGGCAAAATGGATGTCTGAGTAGGCCTTACAAATAGCTGTGAAAAGAAGACAAGCTAAAGGCAAAGGAGAAAAGGAAAGATATACCCATTTGAATGCAGAGTTCCAAAGAATAGCAAGGACAGATAAGAAAGCCTTCCTTAGCGATCAATGCAAAGAAATAAAGGAAAACAATAGAATGTAAGACTAGAGATCTCTTCAAGAAAATTAGAGATACTAAGGGAAGATTTCATGCAAAGATGGACTCAATAAAGGACAGAAATGGTATGGACCTAACAGAAGCAGAAGATATTAAGAAGAGATGGCAAGAATACACAGAAGAACTATACAAAAAATATCTTCATGGCCCAGATAACCACAATGGTGTGATCACTCACCTAGAGCCAGACATCCTGGAATGTGAAGTCAAGTGGGCCTTAGGAAGCATCACTATGAACAAAGCTAGTAGAGGTGATGGAAATTTAAGCTGTTTCAAATCCTAAAAGATGATGCTATGAAAGTGTTGCACCCAATATGCCAGCAAATTTGGAAAACTCAGCAATAGCCACAGGACTGGAAAAGGTCAGTTTTCATTCCAATCCTAAAGACAGGCAATGCCAAGGAATGTTCAAATTACCACACAATTGCAGTCATCTCACACACTAGCAAAGTAATGCTCAAAATTCTCCAAGCAAGGCTTCAACAGTACATGAACCATGAACTTCCAGATGTTCAAGATGGTGGATTTAGAAAAGGCAGAGGAACCAGAGATAAAATTGCCAACATACATTGGATCATCGAAAAAGCAAGAGAGTTCCAGAAAAATGTCTGCTTTATTGACTATGACAAAGGCTTTGACTGTGTGGATCACAACAAACTGGAAAATTCTTAAAGAAATGGGAATATCATACCACCTGACCTTCCTCCTGAGAAATCTGTATACAGGTCAGCAAACAACAGTTAGAACTGGACATGGAACAACAGGCTGGTTCCAAACTGGGAAAGGAGTAGGTCAAGGCTGTATGTTGTCACCCTGCTTATTTAACTTATATGCGTCATGTGAAATGTGAAATGCCAGGCTTGATGAAGCACAAGCGGAATCAAGATTGCTGGGATAAATATCAATAATCTCAGATATGCAGATGACACCACCCTTATGGCAGAAAGCGAAGAACTAAAGACCCTCTTGATGAAAGTGAAAGAGGAGGGTGAAAAAGTTGGCTTAAAACTCAACATTCATAAAACTAAGATCATGGCATCTGGTCCCATCACTTCATGGCAAATACATGGGGAAACAATGGAAACAGTGAAAGACTTTATTTTCTTGGGTTCCAAAATCCCTGTAGATGGTATCTGCAACCATGAAATTAAAAGATGCTTGCTCCTTTGAAGAAAAGTTATGACCAACCTAGACAGCATATTAAAAAGCAGAGACATTACTTTGCCAACAAAGGTCAGTCTGGTCAAAGCTATGGTTTTTCCAGTAGTCATGTATGGATGTGTGAGTGGACTATAAAGAAAGCTAAGCACTGAAGAATTGATGCTTTTGAACTGTGGTGTTGGAGAAGACTCTTGAGAGTCCCTTGGACTGCAAGGAGATCCAACCAGTCCATCCTAAAGGAAATCAGTCCTGAATATTCGTTGGAAGGGCTGATGCTGAAGCTGAAACTTCAGTATTTTGGCCACCTGATGTGAAGAACTGGCTCGTTGAAAAAGACCCTGATGCTGGGAATGATTGAAGGCAGGAGGAGAAGGGGATGACAGAGGATGCAGTGGTTGGATGGCATCACCAACTTGATAGACATGAGTTTGAGCAAGCTCCAGGAGTTGATGATAGACAAGGAATCCTGGAGTGCTGCAGTCCATGGGCTTGCAAAGAGTCAGACACGACTGAGCGACTGAACTGACTGACTGACTGACTGACAGTTCAGGTGGGTGTGCCAATATGCTGAACTCTGAATTCTCAGCGAACTAGGTTCTCTGAGGACAGTGATTCTAAGATATCTGCCCCACACACCCAAAAGGCCAGGAGGAACCTACAGTCTTGGCCTGAGGTGTCGTCTGTGTCTCTTACCAGACACCTGGGGTTCATGGGAGAGCTGGTTATTAAGACATTATGGCCTTACTGATAATGTCAGCAATAGTGGCTGCTATCTTAATATTCATGAGGCACTGAGCCAGTCCCTCTGTGTGTATTTGCTCATTTAACCTTGAATCTCAAATCTAAGGAATAGAGATTCACTGTACTCTTATTTTACAAATGTGGTAATCACTACTCTGGTGGTTAAATAACTTACGCAAGGGCATGCAGCCAGTAAGAGATGGAGCCCAGATCTACCGTGATTTGTCTGGCTCCAAAGCCTGGACGGTTAACCATTTCTTGTCCTTTGTTGATACCAGAATCTGTAAGATGACTGATCTGAATATTCAAATCAGAAATGAAGCAGCTCATTGAAGTCTCTAATGACTTAAAGTGGAAACACAGACACAAATCTGCAAATGCTTTCAATGCTGCTCTTGGCAGAACTGCTTCCAGCCACCATCAGTGCCCTCCCCAACATCTGTCTGCAAGTGGCCTTCTGTAGGGGGACATTTATTTTTAACCACACTGTTGTCTCCACTTACAGAGGAGAAGTAACAAACTGAATTGAAAAAAATCGACCCTTGTGGCTTGTGGCTGAAATACATTTTCTAATATAGGAAAGTTACATGACAACTTTCTGGGGAGGCAGATCCCCAGAGACCCACTTAGAGAATGATGGTGCTGGGGAAAGCAGGGCTAGCTTCTTAAGGAGGTGTGGAGTGAAGTTCGTTAGTAAGGAAGATTTGCATCACTCACAGCACATCCAGCTTTGGCAGATGGGCACCATGTGCTGAAAACCAATCAGTTTCCAAAAAGCGGCCCTGCACTTTCTTTTGGAGTTGGTTAGAAGCAAAATTGCAGGGAAAGCATTCTGGGCAGATTGGGAGGTGGTTAAGGTTTGAGTGAGAAATTGAAACTTGGAGTGTGTCAGACTCAGTGTGTTTGGGGGGGGGTCCTCTTTCCAGTGGAGGAGGTGTGCCCAAGAAGGAGGAGAGGGAGTGCCAATTTGCTTCACTCCTTCAATTGACCGAGGGGCATAACCACCCCCGGACTTGCAATCTTGCATGAGGAACAGAGTCTTCAACAATTAATGCCACCATTGTTAAACTTTTCAATTGTTGGATTTTTTTTCCTGATTAAAAAAAGTGTAACATTTTAATAACAGCTGTTTTATTTTTCCTTACTTATTTTTGTGTAGAAAATTACTTTTGCAGAACCACATGCCTAAATGATGTGTCCCATACATATTAGTGAGATAATGCATGTGAATGCATTGTATGCCATCTCACAGACTGTAGATGCGCAATAAATGGGAGCTCCTCACATTGTTTATGCTTCCTGTATTTCACAGGAGGACCCTGGGGCAGAGGGAGAGGCTGCTTTGTCCAAGGTTTGTGTTCAGCAGTAACTAGACTAACCCAGGGTATCTTGCCTCCTTCCACCTCTCCCCCAGTCAGAGCACCTCGATGCCTGGACCATGTTCTACTTACATAAGCCACAGCACTTTAGGGAGCAGCTGGGGCTGGACTGATTGGGAAAATGTGTTCTTGGCATCACCGTCCAGGGTCCACTGATGTAATCCGGGTGGACAGTGTCCAAACTCAGTGGCTTTGGGGAGGTGGAGGAAGGCACACATTCATTCATTGACAAGCTGTCATGTAACCATGGAGGAGGGAGGTCAGCCGGGTAAGAAACTTATTGGAAAGAAGACACCGCTTCAGGTTGGCAGGAGGTGGGGCAGCAACAGCTCTCATTTGCTGGGAAGGTCCACAAGCCAGATATGGCTCATGCACTTCTCCTGACCAACCAGCCCTCTGAGGCACATGTGTTATCCCAGTGTCCAGAAAAACATCTTAACATTTAATTCTGGGGCCAGGAAGTAACATACCAGTCATTCATCCAGCAAATGTTTGTTGAGCTACATCTGTCTACTCAAATGTCGTCAGCACTGGGAGTTTGCTATGGTGACTACAGGAGACAGACTTCTTATCTCAGAGCAGCTGAGACATGCAGACACATAGGCATACACACATACATACATACAACACATGTCATAAACCTTGTGATATGTGCTAAGACAGGAAGGAAGAGCATGCACTGAAAGATAGTAATATGAAAGTGCTAGTTATATGTGGGGGGGCACTGATTATAGGGGCATCCTCTCTGAGGAGGTGACATTTACGTGGAAATCTGAGGCAAATAGGTGTTGACTGTGGGGGAGAAGCAGAAGGAAGAGCCTGTATCAGGGCCCTGAGGCAGGAAGGGCTTGGCCAGGGAGCGAATTGAAACATCACCAGGCCCTGTGCCTTCAACGTGGGAGTACAAGAGAAAGTGGCATAAGGTGATCCCCTGGGGCCCTGTGGGCCAAACTGAGGAGATTGGCACTTTCCCTTAATGCAGTAGGAGGCCAGTAGAGTGCTTTAAGCCAACCAGTGACATGAATGGATTTATGTCTTACAAGGATGGCTCTAACTTCCCTTAGAGAATGGATTTCAGAGGGGAGCAGGTGGAGGGAGGCTGTTACAGGTGATGGATGAAGATGACTTGGTTAGAATGGTGGCAGTGAAGGTTGAGAGGAGTGAGTGGCTTTGATATGTAACTTGAAGATGAAATCCACAAAGCTTGGCCAGAAGAAGGCAGAGTATTGGAGCAGAGGTAAGAGAATGGGAGTAGGGCCGGGAGGAGGTGGAAGCAGCTTAGTCCAACACTGAAAGAAGTGACTAGCAGTGGGACCCCGGCAGCTTGGCTTCCTTGTCACCACTGAAGCCAGTCTTGATCTGGATGCCTTTGGTGTCTTATTACAGCAAAATGACGGACAGTTCACGGTGATCCAGCTGGTGGGGATGCTAAGGGGCATTGCCGCGGGCATGAAGTACCTGTCGGAGATGAACTACGTGCACCGGGATCTGGCTGCAAGGAACATTCTGGTCAACAGTAACTTGGTGTGCAAGGTATCTGACTTTGGCCTCTCCCGCTACCTCCAGGATGACACCTCAGATCCCACCTACACCAGCTCCTTGGTGAGTCCTTCTGGGTCTTTTCAGGTCAAAGCATGACAGGAGTAAAAAGTGGCTGCATGTAGCGGGGACCCATGGTGGGGCATACTGGGAGGGACTGGGACCAGAGCTCATTTCTCCTCTGGGGAAGCCAAATGACGAGTGGACCATTCATCCAGGAGAAATGATAGCCACTGGTTGTTCAGGCAAATGTTAGGGCATGGGCTGTTAGGAAGTGTTGGTGTCTCCTCTGAAGCCGTGCTGCTTCTGGCCAATGAAAGAGGATGTTTTGAAAAGGATGATTTGGGGGAGTCCAAACATTTGGTCAGTGGCATGAAAGACATCATCTACAGGGAGCAGGCTCCAGTTGGGTTGAGCACTGTGTCATCAGGTGGATTCCTGGTCCTGATTTGGGGCACATGCAGCAGCTAGTGGTAGCTTGCAGTAAGCAGCAGCAGTAAGTGGAAATGAGACTTTAGTTCCCTGACCAGGCATCCTAACCACTAGACCACAGAAGTGTGACTAGAGCCTAAATCTCCAGTCCTTACCTACCCTGACAAGAAAGAATTCTGATGAAGAGGTGGAAGATAAAGAGAAAAGTAAAACATTTTTTGCAAAAGCAGCATACATGCAGTAAGACACATGGCTGAACTCTGTGACCCTCCCCTAGGTGCTCATGCACTCCTCAGCCAACATAGATTTCAACACAAAAGTGGCTGGGAGGATAGAAGCAAAACTTATTATGACCTGGCATCCCCTAACTTTTGACCCCCAAAGAATCTCTCTGCTCATGTGTAGTGTCTCCCTTGCCCCAAGGAGAGAAATGTGTGATCTCTTGATCTTTTACTCAAAATTTAGCCCTTCTCTGTTCCTGCCATGATGGTTATTTTAAGGTGTCCACAAGAAACAAAGCCTGGCTATTTCCCTATTTCTGTTGTTACTTCCATTTTGGAGAGCAAATAGGAGACTGATTGAAAAATCCCACCTGGGGCCTACCTATCTTCTGTCTCAGGCAGTGCAAACAGGAGGCTAGTTGTAAGTGTCCAGCCTGAAGCCCACTTTTATTCCTGCCCATGAATTGTAAACAGGAGGCCAGTTGTAAATGCCTAACCTGGAGCCCATCTATGTCCCGCCTTAGTCCTCTTCTCTGTCTCCATTACTTCCAGAAAGCTGCAAGTTTCACAACTTGGTAATTGAACAACAACAACATGATGCATGCTCTCAAATTTGTATTTCTATCTCAGCCTCCTCTTCTACAGCCTGAACAGCTATAATCATCTGTGTCCAACTGCCTAGTTCACACAATTCCCTTTAGAACTTAACAGGTCCTAAATGGAGCTCTTGATTTACTCTCCAATCTCTTCTCCCCCATCTCTTCAACTCAGTGGTTGCACCATTCCTAATGGTGAAACCTAGAAATCAGTTTTGAATTCTGTCTGTGCCTCTCCATCCAAGTTCAGTCCTTCCGCTAATACTATGTTGTTGTTGTTTAGTCATTAAGTTGTGTCCGACTCTTTTGTGACCCCGTGGACTGTAGCCCACCAGGCTCCCCTGTCCATGAGATTTCCCAGGCAAGAATATTGGAGTGGGTTGCTGTTTCCTTCTTCAGGGGATCTTCCCGACCCAAGGATCAAACCTGTATCACTTGTGTTGGCAGGCAGTCTTTACCATCGAGCCACCAGAGAAGCCCTACCCTATTCCTATAGGTTTCTATAAAGTCTGCTCCTTTCTTCTCATCTCTGCTGTTGTTCAGTACGTGTCTGACTTTGCTACCACATGGATTGCAACACGCCAGGCTTCCCTGTCCTTCATCATTTCTTGGAGTTTGCTTAAATTCATGTCCATTGAGTCAGTGATGCCATCCAACCATCTCATCCTCTGTTGTCCTCTTTTCCTCCTTCATTCTATCTTTCCCAGCATCAGAATCTTTTCCAATGAGTCAGCTCTTTGCATCAGGTGACCGAAGTATTGGAGCTTCAGCTTCAACATCAGTTCTTCCAATGAGCATTCAGGGTTGATTTTGTTTAGAATTGACTGATTGGATCTCCTTGCAGTCCAAGGGACTCTCAAGAGTCTTCTCCAACACCACAGTTTGAAAGCATCAATTCTTTGGTGCTCAGCCTTCTTTATGATCCAACTCTCACATCTGTACTGTGACCCCACCCTATTCCAAAGCACCATTCTCTCTCACCTGTACTGTTAGAGTAGCTTGCTAATGAGTCTCCTTGGTTTCCTTTTGTCTTCATGCATCCATTCATAACAGCATCAAAAGTGACTGATCTTCCTAATCTACCCACCAGCTATATCCCTTAAACTTGCAAAAACAATACCTGATTATTATAAAAGTCAGAATAATACAGAGAAGAAAAAAGATAAATAAGAACCTGCAATTCCCTTAAAGCAGGGTTTGGTGAACTTTTCCTAAAGGGCCATAAAGAAAATATTTTAGACTTTGCTGGCTAAGAGGCCAAATGAGGATATTATGTACATGATTATGTAACCATTTAAAATGTAACCCTTTAAAAATGTATGAATGCCATTCCTAGCCCCTGGGCTATAAAAAAGGAGGTGACCTGCCAGATTTGGTACTTAGGCAATGGTTTACCAACTCCTGTTCTGAAGCATCAGTTTCAACAGTTAGATGTGTCTGCTTTCACACCTTTATATTTGTTCAAAAAGAAATTTTTTATTTTGTAAAAATGGGCTCATACTATGCCTGTTTCTCTGTGTCCTGTGTGTTTCTTGGAGATTCTTACTCCAGGTTGCTACTTTGAAAGTTTGTAAACCTTCACACTCCACTAGAGATGTATGGTGCCCATCTTCTAACATCCTCACGAGCATTGAAAGTAATCAATCTTTTAAAATTTGCTAATCCAAAGATGAAAAATGATAACTTGTTTTGTTTTAATTGAATTTTCAACTGACTGCTAGAGATCTTTTTGCATAGTTATTGGGATTCATGTTTCTTCTTTCACTAATTATCTATACATGTATTTACCTATTTTTCTATTGGGTTACTTTCTGGTTTCTTAGAAATGTATAGGAATTATTTTTATTGTAGCGATATTGACCCTTTTTCTGCCATATATGATACAATTAGTTCCTTCATGTTTTCCTGTACAAAAAAGTACAATTCTTTTTTATAAAGATTATTCTATTCTATTATTTTTTTCTTTTGTCTGTTCTGCATCTTCATTGTAGCACTCAGGCTTAGTTGCCCTGCAGTATGTGGGATCTTAGTTACCAGACCAAGAATCAAACCATGTCCCCTGCATCAGAAGGCAAATTCTTAACCACTGAATCACCAAGGAAGTCCCAGTACAATTCTTTTTTGTATTTAAAAGAATACACTTTTTAAAATATTATTCATGATACCCTTTCGCTTGCAAAAGTGGTTCATATTCATTTGGTCAAAAATATCTATCTTTTTCTCTACTTGTTGGATTTTTTTGGCTTATTTGAAAAGTTCTCTCCATCCTAAGGTTATAAAATGCCTTTTAAAATTTCCTATACTGTTTTATTATCTTGATAGGTTTGATTTATCATGTAACTATTTATTTAATCCATTCCTCTGTCTATTTGTCACTCCACCCTATTTTGTTGATATATTTCCAGATAAGTTGTAGACATTAGTACACATCACCCATAAACACTTTAGCGTATGTCTTTTAATGAGAATATATATTTTTGTTTATACTTCTTTCCTTGATTAAGGCAAAATTTGCATATAAAGAAGTATACAGATCTTAAGTGTACATTTACAGAGTTTTAACAAATGCATACGACTATGTGACCCCAAATTCTATCAAAATAGAGAACTTTGTCATCATACCAGAAAATTCCCTCATGTCCTTCCCCTGTCGCAAATGCAGAAGTACCTGCTATTCTGACTTTTTTCAACTATAGGTTTCTTCTGTCTCTTCTAGAACTTCTCATAAATGGAATCAGGATGCTCTTCATGCCTGACTGCTTTCTTTTAGCATTCTGAGTAGGAGATCCTTTCCTATTGCTGAGTGAAGCAGTAGTTTTTTCTTAATTATTGTAATAGTCTATGTTTATTTATCCATTCTCTTGTTGGCAGACACCAGGGATATTCTCAAATATGATCTTGAATATGTTAGGACATATATTTTTATTGTATTTTTATGCAGGTAAATATAGAAAATTATATCAACACCATTTTTTGAAGATATTTTCCATATTTTATTGGATCATATGTCATTCTTATCATATGTTAAGTTCCTTACATAAACTATGTTTTGATTCTAAAATCTCCTCCATTGGTCAATTTATTTACTCTTATGCCCAACCATATTATTCTATTTATAGTAACTTTATCAAGTTTTACTTTGATATTATTCTGATTATATTAATTTTAGCAAGAGTTTTACTATTTGGATAAATTAAAGTATTATCATTCTTCTTTCAGAAATCTTGGCTTTTTTTAAATGTCTTTTCTTTCAACTTAAGATCACTTTGTCTAGTGATCTACCTAAAACTACCTAGTAATACATATATACTCACATATGAATTTTGAATGGAACACTATTCTACATTTGGACAGACTGACATTTTGATGACCTTGAGTCATATAATGTGAGCCAAACATAGAATCTGTATATGCCTTACACTGAAAGTTTCTTGGATGTAAAGCTTCCTATGTAAAGCTTCCTGCACACATTATTTAGATCATCTGTTGTGACTTTGTATATGTTTCCTCTAAATGACGAAGCTTATAAACTCCTTAACCTAACAGCTTTCAGGATCCATTTTACCGTATTATTCTTCCATGTTTTTCCTTTTATTCAAAATAGAGAAAATTATCATATTTGATGACTAAACTATGTTTCTAAAAATGCAGTTTATTCACATGAAAAATATTTATTGCTCATCTACTATGTGCCAATCCTGGGCTACAATCTGGAGGCACAATTAGGATTGAAAAGAGACAGCATTACTGTTCTCACATTACTCACAACTGAATGAGGAAAGGGAAGCTTAGTCAGATGCATACACAAATAAGT